GAAGATGCAATCCCAAACCCGACTTAAAATAATGAATTTTTGTTCTCACGTAACATGGTGCGCGTGATTTGTAACACAAAAACCATAAGCTTGCATTGCGTTCTCAGTTGTGAGCTTGTTGTTAATAATAATTGTTAATTAATAATTGTTAATAATTGTTAATAATAATCATTGTAGATCTTTCCTTTGCGAATTAAGTAAATTAAAAATTATGGCACGCATAGGAAAATCGACTTTCCCAGCTGATTGTATGAATTGATAAACATGAGGTTCTAATTTTTCCAGAATCGATTTGAAAAATTCTGACTGCAGTAACAAAGGGAAAAATAGCTAATAAGTAGGGTATCCAGGATTATGTGGGGGTTTTTTTTTCAAATTATGCGATCATAATTTTTGGGCAAATTTGAGGATGATTCTGGCCAAAATTAGCACTAAAGATAATATAAAATTTTTATTTATATCAGTCAGTTATCAGAACATAAAATTTGATTTTTTTAATTTAATCTTTAAAAGCTATGCATTTATCACTTAAGATACTTTTATAATTTGAAAAGGACCTTTCCACATCAACGCCAGATATATACAACCAAATATATTTTAATGCAATTGAACTTAGTGTTGGTTAAGGTTGTGGGCAAAACCTCCTTAGTAATTGCTGAAACCATGGCAAAACTATACTAAATCTTATCAAAAACCCTGTTAAAACTATGCCGAAATGGCAAAACCTCAAAATGCGAAACTCTAATAAACAATTAATGTGTAACCTACTGATTGATTTCTGGAGGAATTTCGGCAAGCAACCTTAGAGGCACCTAGATAAATATTCAAAAAAAAATTATTTTACATAGTGTGAGGTAGCAGCTTCGATAAATCAAAAAATTGGAGAATATTGGAACATCATGGATAATTCCTCAATTACTTCAGCAATTCTAGATCCCCGAATTAAGCTGTCTATTTTCACCGAAGAATACATGCAAAGTGCTCGTACATATGTCCAAAACATTTATGAAACATATAAAGTGCACTCTGCAAATACATCGTCTCCGATAAGAATGTCTGCATTTTCCACTAGAAGATATTTCATTCAGCTCGACCAGGATGATATAATGCCACAACGAACTTCTTCAGTATCCACGGGATCAGAATTAGACCGTTATTTCGCACTACAAATAGATGAAGAAACTGATCCTCTTCTATGGTGGAAGGCACATGTCAAGGAATACCTAATCCTAAGCAATATAGCACGAGATTACTTTTCAATTCAAGCAACAAGCGTCCCATCAGAGCAAACATTCTCAATCGCCGGGTATACGATCATTAAAACACAAAATCGTTTGTTGCCAGAAACTGCACGGGCATGCCTGTGTATGAAAAGCTGGTTACAAACAATATAGGAAAATAGTTTTAAAATATTTGGGGCATGCTGCAACAAAACCAGGCAAAGTGAACATTTGTATTACCAAAGATTTCAGGGATCAAAATTTAGTAATGTGGTTATTAAAATCTTCCATTTGTTATCCTCTTAATATATAGAATTACCTCTATATAAAAATAGTTAATATGAAACTCATTTATATCAGATCTACTATGGAACCCAAGAATTATAGCACCATTAGAAGTATTCTAAAAAAGGAACAAGGTGAAAAAATTGCACCTTACATTTTCAAAATAAATGATACTCAGTTGCTTGAAGCTTATCTAAGAGAAAAGATTACCTATGAAATTTACCAAGAAAAAAAGAAAAATAATAAATGTTAGAAAAAGAAAGCATCATGATGATGTATTATTACCTAATAAAAAGCAAAAATCTTTAAAAGGAAAATAATTTTTTTTCTTTGATAGATATTTATTTGCAAGAGGGATTATTTATTTATTTTTTATTTTAAAATGTAAATTCATCCTTTATATATATATATATATATATTAATTATAAGAACCTATTCAATAAATTAATTTTTGTCCAAATATAAATGTTAAATGTTGCGATTGTATATACAATATTGTCAAAGTTACACACGAGTTGTAGAGTCAGAGCATTTAAATTGTTGTCGATAGATATAATTATTTTTGAATCAGGGACACACAATTAAAATGCTCGTTATTTTTTATAAACTAGCAAAGATATGTCTGTGGCATTAAAAAAATGATGCAAATTATTTTATTTTTTCTATTTATTCAGATTTTTAAGTATTATTCTGAAATTCAATATATTTGTTTTATATAGTTTAGAAATTACTCATTTTGATAGCTGTTATATCCTGTTTTATCTAATTCATCCCAATTTGTAATAATACATGGATTATATAAAGAATTTCTAATATTATTTAAATCAGCTTTTTGTTCTTTCCATACTGTTGTATTACCCATTGATGATAAATGAATTAAAGGAATTTCTGTTAATAAATTTGGATTATATGATTGATTATTGACTGCTATTAATGAACATATTTGATTTCTTTGTCCTTCAACAATAGAATCATATAAAGAACTATTAGGACGCCATACAGTTATTAATGCTTCCCTAGATTGAATTTTAGATTGAATATTATAATCACACACACGTACTTTGAAGAATGGAACAACAGAACGTACAGATTTAAAATCTATTAATTTTAATTGCTCATTAATCCATTTATCTGTTTCGTTTAAGTTTTCTGGAATACACTTTTCAAGAATTGGTAATACTTTGTTTTGTAACTGTTCAGTAAATTTTCTCTGAACTAATTTTTCATCTTCTTCATTACGTATGATATACAGTCCATCCTTAGTTGTTTCACGATATAATGGGTATTTTTGGATTACTATAACATCAATTCCACCGATATATCCACCATCTGGTGTAAGACTATTTAATAAAGTAAATGATTTAAGTTTTCCAAATCCAAGTTTAGAATTAAAATCAGTCAGTTTAGTAGAATTTCCAGATATTCTTAAATAAATAGAATTTGCATCTAATATGGATGTTTTTTCAACAGATTTTCTATAAATCCTTGCACCACATATCTCAAGTTTGCAACCTATTATTATTTTAGACTTATCTATGGCCCTTTGTAGTGGTGGATCAATATATGCATAAATTTTATATATTCCATCGGTTAATTCAAGTGATGGTGTTGATAATGATTTATCATCAATTATGTTTGATACACATAGAATAATAGGCCACGATGGTGAAGCATCACCTTCCATAATCGATTTTATACAAGACGTTGATTGTTCACTTAAATATGTATGTGTGAATTTTGAATTGTGAAATTTACTTTTTAACTAGAGTGACGAGTGACAGTGGCGATAACCACCACCATCCTTATTCTTAAAACACTTACCCAGCGATATTAGCTTTATTGCTTGTTTGTTTTCTTTTTTTATTATCTCGCTTGGACATTTTTTAAAAATATTTTTAAAAATGTGTGCACATTAATTATTTATCCTATTGGTTTTTTTTTTTTTTTTTTTGGTAGGACAGACGCGAATTGATTTTTTTTTTCTTCCTTGGAAAAACAATTAATTTATTTTTTGACAGGTGACAAAACGTGAGTGTTGTTGTTTGGTTTGGTTTGGGTCTCCTAAAGAATACGTGTTAATGACAGAGGTACAATTTTTTATTTGTATCGATTGATATTTTTTGGTTATTATAAATATTTTAATTGGAATCAAAACGCGGAGCAGATCTTGCTGGGTAATTACAAGATTTTCATT